GCAGATCTGGGCTGGAAGCCTTCAAAGGGGGCAGAAATGGTAGGGGCTGTTGTGAGTTACAGATACACAGGACCAGCCTAAGCTAGAAAGTTCTGGAAGGCACTGGGTGAGAGAGAAGGAGACCTGGGTGTTGAGACTCTGTCCCTAATACACATCTCAGGCCCAGAGCGAGGAGGCAGCTATAGGAGAGATGTGGCTGGAAGACGCTTCGTGAAGTTATGTTCTGGCTGGAGGCCCTGAGTCAGAACTGAGTCAGAACGGGAGAAACACAGGCCATGTGGAATGGCAAGCCAGACAATGACATCATCATTTGGGGACACTGGTGCTCCATCCTCACAGTCAGTGCCCTGAAGTCCTATGGGCATCTTCACAGGCTAGAGGATGGGCTGAGACTATCACCAGGCTGATAGCCAGCAAGGAGGGGCCTCGAGTTCTCCCCTCAGGCACTGGGCTCTCATGCCTATGGATGAAGCACTGGCTGATGTGGTATCCCCAGCCATGGTGGATCCTGTCTGCAGCTTGAAAACATGCAGAGAAGAAGCTGGAACCCCATCAGGGTGTGGGAATCACTGTACCTCATTATCACATCTAGCATCATGGGCATATGGCTTCTCCTGAGTGGGGTCAGAACCTAGCTAGAGTCAGGCTGAGCTCGGGGGCTGAGGAGGAGAGTGATGCAGGCTGAGTCTGCCCAGAGGAGGGTACTCAGGAAGTCAAGACAGCGCCTACCTTTGCATCCCAGAAGGAGGTCAAGGTAGCTGGGCCCCTCAACCAGCAGATGAGCAGGGCTGGGGCTGGCGTGTGAAGAAGAATAGCCACACTTCTTCTCTGCAGCCCCAGAAAACAGATCCAGGCCCGGTAGGCAGAGCATAGAGGTTCCTGCTCAGCCCAAGGAGATGTCGTGACCCATTAGAGCCAGTCCCCCACAGCTGTGTGAATCCCTGAGGATGAAGTAAGACCCCAAGGTAGAGATCCAATCTGTTCATCCACCATTGAGCTACTCCAACTCTGTGCATGGCTGAGCCATCAGGCCCCTTCCCAACCCTTTGGGTGAGAAGAAATAGAAGTTTGGTCCACCTTTTAGAGCCAGAGACAGAGCTCAGAGAAGTTGAGTGCCTTGGCCAAGGTCACACAGGGAGGCAGAGCTGTCTCAACATCCAAGTCACAACATCAAGCAAGTTGATCAAGGTCGCCAACCATCTCCAAGGTCTTCTAGAGGGTGGGGCTCTTGCTCTATCCGCCTTCCGGTCTCAGACTCTCAGCTCCATCACAGTCTCCCCACCTCATGCCTTCTCTTCTCCGTCTTTCCAGCAGCCTCTCAGATGCCCCCATCTCACCTGCTTGGAAAGCCCAGGTATGCTCAACCTTGATTGAACACTGGAGTTCCCTGGGGAGCTTTGAAGCACAGCAGTGAGCCTCAGAATGACACCCAAAGGTGCAGCCACCAAAAATCTAGGGGCAGATACCTAACCAGTGGAATGGAGCTCAAAGTCAAGAAACGAACCCACACCTGAAAGACTGACGTAAAAATAAACTCACATGTCCGCGATTGACTCATTTTCAGCAAGACTAACGGACAAATCAGGGGGAAAGGATGGTGCCTGACGAAGCTGGGACAGCTGCTGTTCCCCACCTAACACCACAGAAAGTCAGTCCTCCCAAAGGAGTCAGCACTCTGAGGCTAAGGCTAGAATTACAAACTCCCGCAAGAAAACAGAGGCGGCCCTTCGAGACCTTGTATTTGGTAATGGATTCTTGGACAGGACATCAAAGAAGGCACGAACAACAGCAACCAAACAAAACAGACAAAACGGAGCTGAGAGCATCCTCTGCTGGGGCGGTGGGGTCTCCACCACCCACTCCCCTCCTGCCATCTGCTTCTTGTGGGCAGATCTCTGAAGACTTCATAGAGGGCTGGCTGGCAAGATAGAAA